GCTGGATGCAGGCGGCTGGGGAGACGGCGTGGGGGTTGCCGGCTGGGAGGATGGCCAGGAGGGGGCAGGGGACGGGGTTGCGGAGGCAGAGGGCGTGGAAGTCTGGGGCGTAGCGGGAGGGGAGGATGAGGAGGTTGGCTTGCAGGGAGCGCGGGACGAGGCCGGAGGTGTTGGTGATGAGGTTTTGGCGGGCGAGGAGGCGGGTGGTGTAGCTGATGTTTATGCTGCTGTTGGTGGTGGTGATGCTGGTGGTGATGCTGCCCATTTTGGCTGTGGCGTGAATCAAGGCGATGTTATGTTCTGGAGGTGGTGTGTATGGACAAGTAGGAGTGTATCACCCCGGATATCAAATCTCAACCTCATATCGCTGCGTCTGTCTTCATGCAGCTACTGTCTGATAAGAATACCCCAGATATCGGCATGTGGGCTCCGAGATAGGGCTCTCTGCTGTGTCGATACAAGCATCCATCCTATCATAATTCAGTATCAGAAACTGAAAGCAACGACAAATCCACCACTTTGGACTGACTTGCCATTGATTGACCCCAATTCTCCAATTCTATTCTCCAACCGACAGAGACTAAGGCGTCTCCACTGCCTATCACCCCAATAAGCTTCTGCTGATACTACATCGGCCCGAAGAGGGGAGGATCGGCCGGCGACGATGATTGGCATGGTCAGTTTCAATTACGGAAGATAATCTCATTGCCGTGGAATTGCCTATCAAGCATATCGATGGTCCGGGGTTATCGTTTACTTCATTGTCAATGCCGTATCTGGGGCTGCTCGAATGAGCTCGATATAAGAACATGCGTCCAGACTCTCTGGTCGTTCACAGTCAAGGAAGAGCACGATGTCCACTGAGCAGCCAGTCCCAGATCGCAAACCGTCCCTCCAGGAACCACTGGAAAACGACAAAGACGAAGCGAGCATCGACCAGGGCATCGACAGCAACATCGAGAATGTTGTCCTCGATCCGAAAAAGGAGCGCAAACTCCTCCTCAAGCTCGACCTCGCCTTTGTCCCGATCATCATGCTAACCTACCTCTCCTGCTTCCTCGACAGAACCAACATCGGTATCTCCCATCCCCCACCGGCCTCTCATCTTGGCTTCTGACCTGACAACACAGGAAACGTCAAGGTAGCAGGCATGCCGGAAGCCATCGACGCCTCGCCCAGCCAGTTCTCCACCGCCGTCTCCATCTTCTACGTGACCTACGTCCTTCTCGAAGCGCCCTGGGCCGTGCTCATGAAGAAGCTCACCCCGCGAAACATCCTGACGGGCCTCTGCATCGTCTGGTCCATCACGACCGTCTTCACCGGGTTCGTGACGAATGTGCCCGCGCTCTACGCCACCCGACTCATCCTCGGCGCCTGCGAGGCCGGGCTCTTCCCCTGCCTGAACCTCTACCTGACGATGATCTACCGCCGCGAGGAGCAGGCGAAGCGGGTCTCGTACCTCATGAGCTGCGCCGCCATCTCCGGCGCGTTCGGCGGCTTACTGGCGTATGGCCTGTTGCATATGGACGGGATTGGGGGGAAGGCCGGATGGAGGTATCTCCCTCTTCCCCCTCAATTCACCTCTTACAAGACTAATGAGAATGAGATAGGTGGGTGTACATCATCGAAGGCCTCTTCAGCCTCATCTGCGCGGCGCTGATCTGGTTCGGACTCCCCAACGACCCGGCAAACGCCTACTTCCTCACCCCCGAGGAGAAATGGATGATGCGTGTGCGCAACGAGCAGCGCCGCGCGTACATGGGCCGCGACGAGTTCACCTGGGCCGAGATGCGCATCGCCATCGGCGACCCCAAGCTGGCGTTCAGCGCCGCCACGCAGTTCTGCCAGGATATCCTGTTGTACGGGTTCAGCACGTTCCTGCCGACGATCCTCCGCGGCATCGGGTACGATTCGCTCCGCAGCAATCTCCTCACTGTGCCGGTGTACTTCTGGGCCGCGATCGTGTTTGTGAGTGTGGCGTGGGCGGCGGATCGGTACTCGCGCTTTGCTTTGGTAGCCCCCCCTCGTCCAGGAGAACTGAGCTGAGCTGAGCTGAGCTGACGGACGGTAGTTCCTGCTGGTAACCAACCTCTTCGGCGTCGTCGGGTATATCCTCCTGCTGGCCGTCTCCAGCGACGCGGTCAAGTACTTCGCCACCTACCTCGTCGGCATCGCGACGTACACCGGCGTCGGGCTGAACATCGCCTGGCTGAACGTCAACGTCGCGCCGCACTACCGCCGCGCGCTGGAGATCGGCGTCCAGCAGACGATCGGGAACCTGGCGGGCATTGTCTCGGGCCAGATCTACCGCTCCGCGCCGTATGTCCTGGGCAACTCGTTCTCGCTGGGGGCGCTGGCCGTCGCGCAGGTCGTGATCCTGTCGCATGCGGTGTACCTGCGGCGGGAGAACGGCCTCAAGCGGGAGATCGAGGCGGGGGAGAAAGAGGAGACGCGCCGGGTGACGAGTGGCGATAAAGCGGTGGATTTTGTGTATCACTATTGAAGCGTAGCATGTCTTGTACCTTTGGTTGTGGTTGTATGGGTGGAGTATTGGAGTATGACGACAAGACTTTACCCCGAGTATATCTTGTCGACGGCACCGGCACCACTTAAGTCATCTTTGTTTCAGTCGAATACACTTGACCTCTATCAATCACTCATTCCTAAGTCTAAGACTAAAATGGGCCTCTGTTTCTCCATGTCGAGTCGCCGCCATCGTCGCCCAATGATGGGCATGGCCATGCCACCACCGCGAAGACACTACGCGCCCGGCCCGGGCTTGGGCATGGATACTTTTGGACGGCATCATCATCGTCATCACCATTATCATGGCGGACCGGGAGTTGGAGGGGGATATGGCGGGGGATATGGAGGACGGCGCGGAGGGTATGGGAGGAGGTGGTGATTGAGTAAGTGCCTTTTGTTGACCAGAATCCGCGCTATTATTCCTACTACGCTAGAAATGGTAGTCTAGACACCTTTTTGGCTGAGTGGTCTAATGGTTGACAACCTTGCACTGAGAAGTTAAGATGCTAATATCGTTAGAAGGACAGGTTCATCGGGTGGACATGGAAAATGTGGCTGATAACTTGATCTTGATAACTTGATATGCCTCAATGCGAACTGTGCACACTATGGTATAGATACAGACAGAATGTAGATTGAACATCCTATTCATACACTACGTCCTATCCTGCCCCAGACTCAAACTCTCATACTTCCGCAGCATATCGTGCACCCCCGCCGCAGCATAGTTGCGCATGCCATCCACCGCCTGCGCATCCCTCCCCTCGCCCTCCCCTAACTTATCCAGCCCATCCACATAGTCATCCCACTTATCCGGCTTCTGCGAGCGCGGATACCGCCCAAACAGCTCCTTGATCTCCTCGGGCGCCGCCTCCGACTCCAGCACCCGCGCCTCCTGGTCCTGCGCCCGCACCGACTGCCGGAAGATATGGAACAGGTTCCTGCCCACCTGCGACCGGCACGCGATGACCGAGAACGCGCTCGTCAGGGCCAGAAAGTCGCCGTCGAGGATGTCGAACGACTCGTGGTCGAGCATCGTGAACAGCGCCACCATGATCGCGTACGTGGTGAACGGGTGCGTGCGGCCGATGCCGTACTCCGCGCGGTGGACCCGCACCAGGGCGGCGATGGCGCGCGCCGAGGCGAGACTCTGCTCGGTTGCTTGGGCGCGGAGACGGCGCGTGGGCGACGTGACGGTCTGCGTGTGGCCGGCTTCCTCGGAGAAGAACCGGTGGATGCCGAACCCGTCGCGCGACAGGCTGATCATAATGGTGTGGTAGCGCATCCTCCTTCGATCAGTGGAGCTCGAGCTGCAGTTGCGGGGGTACGTACCTGAGGAGGAGGATGTGGGCCGGGGGGTTAGTGGCTGGGTCGAAGTAGTCCGGGAGCTGCGCTTCCCATTCCCGGAGCTGGTTGTAGTACTCTTGCTTGCGCTCGTGCTGGTTGACGTCTGGTTTGGGGTCTTGGTAGAGATGGTGGGAGACATCCCTTGCGATGAAGGACAGGCGGCAGGCCTCGTCGAAGTATTGGCTCAGGAACGACGGACGAGTCTTTTTGCCTGTCGGGTAGGGCATCCATTGCTCGCTGGAATCGCTTTCGTTGCGGTTGATTCGCTTGACGCACACTCGACGGATTTTGCTCGGTTTTCGGAAGTTTGTATGCACGACCCTATGCAGTCAGCTTGACCATGACCAAGGATGATGGGGAGCCTACGTGTCGACCTGGAACAGCCCCCAGGCGGTTCGTTGGATCGAGGATCGCATCTCCTCGGACATCTGCAGCTTGTCCAGGTCGAGGTCCGGGCCGTTGATGATTCCCAGGGACTCGGCCATTTCGATGGCGCGGTGCAACATGGTATACCCCAGGTCGTCGTCGCCGGACATGGAATACCTGCATTGTCAGTAGGAGAAGCCATCTTTGAGAGGGCACCTACCTTTCATACAGGAGCAGTGTCGCCTGCAGAGAAGCCAGACGCACATTCTTCCCTCGTTCGAGCTGGTAGCTATGCATGTGTCGTTCGGCTTCGGCGAGGAAATCACTCCCCTTGGTGGTCACATCGCCTGGTATCGCATATGCCTCGGAGTATTGTGAATAATGCTGTCGTATTATCAGCTAGACTCGACACAAGACCAAACAAGACAGAGACGTACACATGCATTGGCCAGCATTGCATTGACCAAAAAAGGACTGCACAGGTCGGAGCTGACATTCCCATCCCGCATGTGCTGGACAAACCCCTGCAGGTCGACAAACGCGTAGAACGGATAATCCCAGGTGAAATACAGCGAGATCAGATGCGACACCAGCGCATCGTCCTCCGTCACCCTCGTCCACGGTTTCGCAGGCACCTTGTACGGCGCCCCGTCGCACAGGTAATGGATATCCATGACCTGGGGCCGGAACGCCGGCTCGCCGCTCTCGATGCGCACCCGCTGCTGCATATCCTCCAGCGTCTGGATCGTCTCGCCATCCCTGCCCGCCGCCTGCAGGTCCTTCAAGGTCTTGTCGACGAACAGCCGGATTTCCTCCAGCGAGCAGTCGGCGCGGATCATCCCCAGCAGCGTCTGCACGTGTGCGTCGTCCACCAGGCGCATCACGCTGAGCAGATCCCGAAGTAGATCCCGGTGGTAGCTGGGGTCCTCCATGATCAGCTTCGTCGCAACGTCCGAGACGTCCTCGTCCTCGTCCTCGTCCTCGCCCCTATCCATGGGTGCATCTGGCCGGTCTAGCCCTGTGCAGCCGGTGCAGGGGGCCAGCGCCATGCTCTGCTGGTGGCTATTAGCGTATCGATCCGCTCATCCATCTCTGACGTAGTTTACCTGCCTTGGTCATTCCATCGTTCTGGCTCTGGTCCTCCTCCTTCTCGTTCTCGTTCAGTGTGTGGTTGTTCGCGTTGTTGGTCATACTGGGTAAGCCCCGGGGCATATTGCCCGCTGCCTAAAGGACACTCTCTGCTGTACGATTGAATGAAGATTGAACTCTGGGTACGAAGCAATGGATCTGGACAGGACAGGATGCTTTCTTCCACGGGAATCAGCCTGTTCGTGCTGCGGTTCGGCATATGATGCATAATGACGTCACCTGACTGCTCTTGTGCTTGTTACGGGAATAAGGAGAAAAGAGAGAAGGAGAGAGAAGACATCAGCGGATCTCGGAATCGTCATGTAATTGATATCAGATAATATTGTCCGTCATGGATGGCCATGGGTAGATGTGTATCACCACCTAGTCAAGGTTCATCACCACCAACGAAATCTGACATCAGATCATATTGATATTGATCTGAATCATGCTCTTAGTGATTATGATATTAATGTATCTCACAGCCACTGGTCTTATGGTTGTACGGAGTATGCAATAAACCGCCTGATTCGAGACAAGGACATTGAATATTAATGACCTTGCGAAATCAAAAAGACGCACGTTATGCTACCTCGAACAGCACACGAAATTGAAAGTCATCATAACATAACTACATCTACTTCTTATTCTTCAACAACCCCCTCAAAGCCTCCGTCTCCCCCTCCAGCTTCGACACCCGCATCTTCAACTCATCCCGCTCCCGCTTCACCTTCTCCAGTTCCGCCTCCAGCTGGTTCATCCGGTCCACCCGTCGTTGGCGGTATCTCCGCGCAGCAAGGGTGTTGAGCTGCCGCTTCGAGACCCGGTTCGACGATTCCCTGGGCGAGCTGTCCCCAGAGGTAGACGGGGCTGCAGTAATGGACACGGGCAGGGTCGAGGCGGGCATGAGCAGAGGTGGAGTCGAGCCTTGAACTTGGCCTGGGTTGATTGGCGTGTCTGCTTGTGTCAGTATGATTTGAGGCTGACGATGATGAAGACATACCTGAATCTGTGCCCGGGGAATCAAAGTCCAAAAAGGGCAGAGTCGTAGCAGTCAAGTCGAAAGGATCAGGCGCAGACACGGGCAGCTCATACGGCGAAGTGGAAGTAGAAGTTCCCGTCGGAATTGAATAGTCCAGATCACTGAAGCCAGCGAGATCGGGGGGTGGGGGTGGTAAAAATGCAGATGGATCCGGGTCGTAGAACGAGGGGTCGGGAGCAAACGGCGCGGCAAGATCGAAAGTGGTATCCGGGAAGACAAAGGCGGTGGTACTATCATAGAACTCAAACGAAGAAAACTGATGCGGTTGGAGAAGTCCACTGGGATGGGAATTATGCAGATCGATGAGGCTGGAAGAAGACTGGGACGGTCTGGCGGGCCACCTGCGCAGATATGGCGGTGACCGACATTGTTCTATGCTTTAAGCCGGGTCTGCGGACCCGGCGGGTTTAGAAAGATATAGGGAAAAGGGCGCCTGGTCGTCGAGAGCGACGATGGATGATGAGAGAAAAGACACGGAGAGAAAGGGAAGCTGGGGGATGGCGCTTTATAAGTTGGAAGTCCGCGGGTGTGGGGCGCTTAGCCTACATCTAATTGTTTGGCCTACAGAAGAGATAACCTGTTATCATTCCATCCTATAACAGTTGGTTCCTAGATAGAACAGTTAGTAGCAGATAATTAGAGGTCTCAACAGCAACGAACAAGAAGAATGTCAAGTCAGAAGATGTCGACTCTTACTTGAAGATGTCTCCTATGATCCATCTTCAAGGCTTCAGCAATGCCACGCATATCAGCTAGAGGGTATAATCATTCTTGACGGTTGTACATAACAGTGGAAATTTATCTCTTACCAGCTATCCATATCAATTAGTCTCTCGTCTCAAGCAAGTGATGCAATTCTCTATCTCTACATACTACTTCAGTCCTCTTCCAACAGCCATTCTTTATAATGCCATTGTCTCTATGCCCATGATGAGTCGAAATGACCAGCATTAATCAAAACGATCTTATTCTATCTCTCAGACTTCATATCATCAACATCATTCTGTATCATCCTCACTCATACTGTACTGTGTATACCTTCATGGATTATCGAACATGAATGATCTGATTGGCCAATCCCCGGTTTGCCGGAAACGGTTAGTCTAAAATGCCAAGACATGAGTGAAAATGACTCATGCTGACTCATGTTTTTGATTGGCTGAGCGCTTGGTTCTAGACGCCGGTGCGGGGTAGACCCACAGCACAGCATTTCCTAATTAGGAATCAGACATGTTACCTGGATGCTTACGGAGTACAGATAGAGGAGGCTGTGTTCTAAGGCCGTGCATGGGCTAGAAGTGTATTGTGCCTTGGATTGGGCTCATCTTAGTGATTAGACCACTATGAATATGAATGTGAAAGGTACAGAGTATATCTCGCCTTCTGCCTACCTTCCCTTTTCGGTCTAACGCACCTCACCCTCTCCGGCGCAGAGTCCTTTGTTTCTTCCTTTCTAGAGAGCATCGATATCGTCAGTTTCATTGAGTCCATTCTTTTCTCCAGAATGAAAGCCGCCAGATCTCTCCTCCGAGCTACAGAGGCAATGGCTCAATGATCATAACAGCCAATTCGCGAGTCATCTTCAGCCATTAATGAGACCATGTAGCAAGATCATGCTCCTAGCTCTATCTGACAGCTGTGATGGCCGACCTCTACGGGCTCTATGCTTACAATGAGGTACATAGTCTATCTATGCTACCAGGATGTCTGAGATGAGGAATCAATAAGTGATGATATTGCATTGCGATAAGCCAGTATTAAGATCAAAAAACAGAACCAAAACCAAAACTAAAGCAAGGATCTGAACGAGTAATCCAGCTTCGTCGATACTCACAACCCGAGAAACATACCGAATGTCTTTTTTGGTTTCTTCGAGGTAAACCTGCAACATATCAGCCCCGAATCGACTCAGAGTACGGAGAAAAGGACGAGGAAAGCAAACGAGCCAAGTCCGCGCGGTGCGCCGCGCTTGCGAACCAAGCCGCAGTTTTTCCATCCTCAACCATGATCGTGGCATCGGCTCCATGCCGGAGCAGCCATCCGATCGCATTGGAGCGATCGTGCCACCGCTCGGCCGCCGCGATCATGAGGGGCGTGCGGCGGTTCTCACTGCTACCGGCGTTGATGGACTCGGGGATGCGGCCATACAGGTACTCGATAAAGTCCATGTTGTCATTGGACTCGGCGGCTGCATGCTACGCGGTTTTCCCCAGGACAGGCATTTGACTGAGTGCAATGTCCAACCCGTCCTCAGCGAGTTCCCGTGCAAGAAGCGCATCCGCTCTCTGCACAGCTGGAAGCGAGCCACTTCAGGGACATGGTCCTGCCAGTTTGGAAGATGGTGGACACGCTGCCACATCTGGCGGAAGATGTCGGCGCTATAGCACGCAGCCAAGGTGAGGAAGTTTGGGGGCTCACCCTGTCGTCCGACGCGGCAGACTCCGTGCAAAAGGTCCTCGGGCTTCATCTCGTCGATGAGGTATCTTGCAACATCCTTGGCACTATCCCATGCGAGAGCCAGTCCCAGACGCCAGCCACCCAAGCTGAAAGACATCAGGTCCAGACCAGCCTCCACCAGCACCTTCAGGATCTCGAGGTTATTGGTCCTGATGATGCCGGCAATGGTGCCGAGGGCCACGTTGTCGGGGTTTACGTTGTCGGGGAGCCGGCCACCATGGTGCTCGAGAACAGCGGCCTCATCTGGAAGGGTGTAAGTATTTTTCTCCTTGAATCGAAATTTGATTACCTCTTTGGCGTGGGAGGCCAGCTCCTGTACGTCTCGCACGAGGCGGCGCAGCTCTTCGTCGTTGAGATAGCCCAGGATCATTTGCATGATCTCCAAAGGGAGGTCATCTAGCAAGGACCGACGTCTAGGGGGGGATTGGTTTGCCATTTTGATCTCTTGACAAAGACACAGAGGACAAGAGTTGAGGAAAAGTTTCAAATGGAGGATTGTCTGACGGGAATGCTGATGATAATCGTAGGAAGAAGAGAGAAGAGAGGATGATGATGATGGAGATGGAATTGATCGATATTGTAGAGAACTGACGGTCCTTATATAACCTCGCTCACCTCAACATCTCAATCATCTCCTATGTACAAGACATACCCTCTTCAGCGTCCCTGAACGGTGCTGTACATGTCTTCCATCTGTCTTGTCGGTATAAGACATGTTCTGTGTCTTCATCCTCATTATCAGTTCGTGAAAAGTCCATGATACTACAAAGCTAGAAGCAATCAACTGTCTCTATTTCAAGACAGCACCGTGAGGGCAAAGACCCTCTATATCATGCCGGTAGGTCGCAGTTGGTCTTGCGCCGAGCGCAGACAAAGGCGTTGTCTCGCACCATGTCTTTGAAATCTTGTCAAAGGGCAGATCAAGAACAAAGACATTATGAACACGAAGAATTGTCTCATGTGAGTACAACTGACCAAGCGATGGAAAGAAACAGTGATTGATAACGCCATAGAAGACTGTTGAAACAGAATCAGTGTCTCCAGGAAATCATCGTTCCAATGCAGAGACACAGATCATACCTGGATGGAGAATGAGTCTATAAGCGTGGTCTTGATGGCATCGGCACTGCAGAGAACAGGTAGGCAATAAGATATAGTATGCAGCTGAATCCAATGTTGATCTCCTCTCTGTACTAGAGCAAGCGCCATGAGTACTGTCCAATGGATGGCTGGAGTAGATTTACTCTGGCATAGCATGTCCATCCGTTCATTGCTTATATCGACTGACATCTGGATTGAACGAGCGTCAGTTGCAATCCCGAGGTACTGTCTTGCTGGCGATTTCGGAGCTAACTGTCGCACGATTTGCAAGACTTAATTCTATTGTGTCTTGGCTTCAATAACTGTGGGAGGCAATCTTCGATTCTCCAAGTGCTCGCGTACTATTCTATTTGATTATCAAGATCAATGGGAGAAAGCTTAGAGCTTGACCACAGATAGCGCTATATACTCCACATAATATTTACATCTGACCAGAGATCACGACTGACTTCTCTCCTCGGTGTCCCTAGCGTCTTCACCCTCCTTCTCGGCCTCTGTCGGCGCATGCGCTGTTTCATCCAGCTCCAAGGTCGGCGCAAACCGACTCTTCCTCCTAAGCCGCTTGCCATAAAAGTAGAACATCACCGGAATAGGCACCAGAGCGGTGGCAACACAGCCCAGCAGCGTCGCAGCCCACTGAATGCCCATATTATTAAACATCTGCCGCGAAAACAGCGGGAAGCTGGCCGCCAACACGGACCGACAGAACGTGTTTGCTGCGATGGCCGAGGCCGCACTGCAGCTGTCAGAGATAGCGAAATAGCTTCTTGAAGGGCGGGAGCACTTACAACATGAGATAGGTATCGATCAGATAATTGAACAATTGAATGAACACGATCAACAGCCCGAAGCCCGTGAAGAGACCGCTCAGCGTCGACACGATCCACGGCACGTCGGCCGTGAACCCCGTCCATCCGAACCAGAAGATCCCCGCCGCGAAGAGCGCCCCGCCGACGATGACGGGCGGGAGGCGCCATTCCGGGACGGGGATGCCAGCATTCGCCTGCAGCTTCTTGTTGTAGGATCTGCTCGCGAACAGACAGATGTATGTCCCCGCGATGAGCAGGCCGGCCACCATCCCGAAGAGCGGGAGGCCGCCCACCCCGGCGTTCATGTGGTAGACCCCCTGGTAGACGAGGGTGTACGCTGTCAGGAAGCAGTACAGGAGCCCGTAGATGAAGCTGAGGTAGACGGTGACGGCCAGGATCAGCGGCTCGCGGATGAGCAGGCGCAGCGGACGCGAGAAGTTGTTCACGAGGAGCTCCTGCAGGTCGATTTCGATCTCCTCCTGCTTGGCGTGGATGCCCCAGTTCTTGGTGCGGCGGCGCAGCTCGGCGGCCTTGTAGATGAGGATGACGGGCGGGTAGGACTCCTTGAGGAAGAAGAAGTTGAGGACGAGGGCCGCGTAGCCCATGAAGGCGGGGATGTATGCGGTCCAGCGCCAGCTGAGATACGACATGTTGATGAAGCCGCCGATGAAGGGGGCAAGCAGGGGCCCGAGGAAGACCATACTGGAGAACATGGCGATCGCGATCCCTCGGAAACGATTGTCGAAGATATCGGAGAAGATGGCCGCCACGACGGCGAGGGGACAGCTGCCAAAGACCCCGCAGAAGAATCGACAGATCAGCAGAGTTTGGAGGTCCTTTGCGACGGCCACGGCCGTATTGAAGATCCCAAAGCCCAGCATCCCGATGAGGATGGGGAGCCGGCGGCCCTGCAGTTCGGAGAACGGCGCCCAGAGGAGCGGCCCGCAGGCGTAGCCCAGGATATACAGCGAACTCGACAGCGTGGCGACCTCGACGCCGACGCCGAACACGCGCGCGACGTTGCCGGTGGAGCTGGAGAAGACGGCCGAGTCGAAGGTCGAGCAGATACTCGTGAAGGCGAGGATAGCACCCGTGCAGAGCCTAGACAGAGTCACAACGGCTAAGAAAATCAACGTCACCACCACCGTGTCGTGGGTGTCGGGGGTTGCAACTCACTTTCGGCGCGTGCTCCAGTTCTGAGGATACAGCGGATCGTCTGTCCCGTCGAACTCAATCACATAGTCTTCCCGATTGGGCAACTGGGGGGGATAGGGCTTGCCGGCTCCGAACGCGGGCAGAGGCGCTCGGGCAGACGCTCGGCTCTGCGACTTGACACTCTCTCCGACGGTGAGCGCATGCTGCAGGCGCTGGGTTTCGATGCGATCTAGGGCTTGGGATGAGGTCTGATACCGTTCGAGGTCGGTCTCGGTGCGTCGGGAATACAGGGTTCGGAGCCGGGGCTGCGATGCCTCGCTGCTAGAACTGAAGGAGGAATCGAGGCTCGCGCGCGAGGAGACGGGATTCGCATCCGCCTCGGCGCGCTCGACTGCATCGTCTGCTGCGTTCATTGCTGCAGTCTCAGATATCAATCTGGATGAAAATGGATCTGGCGGCCGTCAACACACCACACCGTCCACGCACCAGGACCACGAGAATAAAATTCTCGTCAGGGAGCAGCTAACAGCTTATATATCAGGTTAAAATCACTAGAAGCAATAGTCCGCCCACTACGTAAAGGCCGCTTCAATGGTGGGGTCAATGGCTAGGGAGAAACTGGACAGACCCGCTATGAGACCCGGTTGCAGGGCTCATCCAAGCTTCCAAGTTCCAATTCGGTTCCTCAGAGGGACTGCTTTGCCGAACCAGAATACCTCATATACCAGATATATAGATGGTATATGTAGGCCTTGGCCAACACTCATACATGCAATGAGATGACCAATTCTTTGCAACATCAGTAATCATGAATCCCTTGACACAAACTGAATACTGCAGCCTTACCATTCGGGCATTATTAGGTACCTTAGGCACAGAGAGGTGGGCCAGCAGTAACGATACGGTAATATTACTCGGAATTCGGAACGGAAAAAGTGGAGACTGCATGATGAATAATCTATGAGTAATCATGGATATAGATTCCTCATCTACAAGGCATGAACAAGGCATGCACTTAAGCCATATGACTATGGATAAACGGGCAAGTCAGCCCATACAGGAAAGTATCTTCTCAATAACTCCGCAGTATCAGGCACCTGGAACACCTCTGGAAACTCGGCCAGTGCCTCACGCATGTTCCTCGTCTCATAAACCGCCATGGTGCCCCCATCCAATCCCCAGAAGATCATGTTCTCCCGCAGCTTATCCTCCAACATGGACACCCCAGCCTTCATCCGCTGTCCCTCTTTCTCCGCAAAGATCCGAATGAATTCATCGGAGCTCACACGCCGCAGAGCAGGCGAGCACAACCGGCTCAGTTGCCCAAACGTTTCATTCCAGGTGATTGTCCGGGACTGATCGGGCTGAACGAGGTTGTAAGCCTGCCCCGCTGTCCCGCTGACAAGCGAGATACGCAGCAGGGCTGAACAGACGAAGTCGACCGGGATGAACTGGTTGCGCACCGGCGGAGCAATGGGGTAGTGGCCGATCCGGATACAGCTTGCCATCAGTCGGTTGAGAACGTCGGTTGTCTTGCATGTTCCCGTGACGCTGTGGCCGGATACGAAGCCGGGACGATGGATGGTCACTGGCAGACCGTTGGCCATGGCGTTCCAGGCGATCTGCTCGGCGACGACTTTGCTTTGCGTGTACCCGATGTGTTGCTGTATGTCGTCCAGATCGAAGCCCAGCCGTTCGTTCTCTGGAATGAGCTGTCCTGTGAGGTACTTGGACACGCCACAAGCGGAGATGCTCGAGGTAAAGTGGATGGGCTTGAGGCGGCCTGTGTTGGCGAAGCGTAGCATGTTGACGAGGCCGAGGACGTTTGCGTCTCGATGCGCCGAGTAGGGAAGAGTATAATTCGCAAACGCGGCAAGGTGGAAGACGACGCTGCATCGTGCGGCCCATTCCTTGAAGGAGTCCTCTCCGATGCCGAGCGTGGGATCGGCAACGTCTCCTGGAATTATGACCAGCTTGGAGGCAAAGTCAAAAGGTAGGCCGTATTCCTCCAGGGCTTTTTGAAGCCTGGACAATCCTGCCGCTGCGTCAGGCGCTCGGACTAAGCATGCGATTCCCAGGACGTGCGGCAAGCCGGCCAGGAGACTCAGGAAAAAGGTCCCCAGATATCCACTGGCGCCGGTGAGGAAGACGCGGCCTTCCCCTGGGGCATACCAGTCTGGTACTGCGCCGGCGATGGGGTGCATGTCTGTTCCCAAATCCCTATCCTGCCGGCAAAGACACATCTCATCGGGCGCAGTTTCCGCCAGATTGGTTACAATGGATTCTCCCTGTTTGAGCTCCCCACTTGCATACTTGTCGCGGAGGATCTTAATCGTGGTCTTGCTCAATCCTCTCACAGTCCCCGCATTGGAGATCTCGACCAAGGAGATCTCGACCTTGACGTGTCGCCTGAACCAGCTGCGGATCTCAATAGTCATCAGCGAATCAATTGCAATGTTGGCGAGATCCTCCAGCTCCATGTCCTCCGGGTACGACATATGCGAGGCGATCATTTTGCCCAGTTCATAGGTAATGCGGTCTTCTGTGGCCTGGTCATCCAGCAACGTCGGATCCTGCTCTACCGATGCGAGGAACTTTTTCAGTTCCTCCCCTTGCCCCGTCCCACCGTTATCGCTCTCGGCCAGGACATTGCTCCATGCGTCAAAGCGAGCGTCCTGTCCCCACGGGGCACCGGACGTTAGCTCAGATATGGCCCTGGTGGTACCGAGCCCGACGGCCAGCTGCGGTGGTCCCCCAAGGACAGCGAGTTCCAGCGCTTGCAGGAGATTGCGTTCCTTGAGGATCTGCCATGAGATGGAGCGACTGTATTCAAGTGTCCGTGGTGCGTGTTCGGAGACGTATCCGATGTCTCCCATAAAACCAATGTCAAGTACGCTGGCTGGGAGGCCCTGGGACTGGCGATATTGGACGAAAGAGTCCAGGAAGGTGTTTGCAGCAGCATAGTTGGCCGAGCCGGAGTGACCGCATATGCCAGTCAAGGAGCTGAAGAGAATGAAGAAATCCAGGGACAGGCCCTCCACGGCCCTGTGGAGATTCCACGTTCCCTCTACCTTTGGCGCAAGCGCGGTCTTCCATTCCTCGTGGGTCATCTTTTCAAACAATTGGTCCTGTAACGACTCAGCATAACACTGTATAACATGGACGAAGGTTCTTACCCGTAAGACCATGGACATTTGGATCACCCCAGCAATGGGCTGTGTCGCTGCCGCAACCGCTCGCCGTACATCCTGCATATTGGCCACGCTGCCTGTAACTGTTGTAACATGGGAGCCCTGGCTTTCCAAATCCCGGACGAAGGCACGATTCGTAGGCGATTCGTCACCAGAGCGAGACAGAACGACCAAGTTTCTGGCACCCTTCTCCACCATCCAAGTGGCTACCGCGCGCCCAAGCCCCCCAAATCCGCCTACCAGAAGGTAGGAGGTGTTCGAGCTGAAAAGAGACCCTCGTTCATGTAGCCCGGATGCTGGCAGACTCGACGGCTCATCGGGCATCCGGATGACAAGCTTCCCAATGTGCTTGCCAGACTGCATGAACCGGAATGCTTGGGCTATATTTGCTGCGTCATAAACGGTGACGGGCTTGAGTGGCTGGATGGCGCCTTCACGTATATCCTGCAAGTATCTCCTCATCAGGGTAGAGAGAAATTGCGGGTTCTCCATCTGGATCTGGAGGAGATCCACACCGATAAACGACCGGTTGCCTCCAAAGAGATCCATGTCTAGTTTACCGTGGCCCAGAAAGTCCCTCTTGCCAAGCTTGATCATCTTTCCAAAGGGGGCGACGCATCTCCAGGAGGCGTGAAGGAGCTCGCCGGCGAGAGAGTTCAGTACCAGGTCCACGCCTCGGTTGTTGGTCATTCTCATCACATCCGCATGGAAAGACGTACTCCGTGAATCGAAGATGCAATCTTCAGGAATACCATAGTGCTCCATGAGATGCTCCTTTTTCTCCTGGCTACCCACTGTCGCAAAGATCTCCGCTCCGATCATCTGGCATATCTGTATGGCTCCCAGGCCGACGCCGCCACACGCACTGTGGATAAGGACAGTTTGTCCCTTCTGAAGGTTTGCGCAGTGTATCAAGGAATAAGAAACCGTCGTGAAGACGCATGCACCAGCCGCAGCATCCTCCAAGGAGAGGTTATCAGGGATCACGAGGCAACTCCCAGCGCGGAGGATCCGTCTCGTCGCCATCAGTCCTCTTCCAGCCGTTACGACGCGATCTCCAGGGCGGATATCTGCCACTCCTGCGCCAACTCGACGGACAATGCCACTGGCTTCCAGACCAATATGTCCTGTTTCTCCCATGAGCCCCATGGCAACCATGATATCCTGTCCATTGGTTAGCGGACTGTCTCTCGGCCAGAGAGAGCTACTCACGCGGAAATTCAGTCCGACGAACTTGATATCTACTTCAACACCATCATCTTCTACCGGTGGAGGTCTGCCATCCAACATCCATGTGATAGAATCCATAACGCCAAAGCATTTGACGTCTATCGCTCTGTGCTGGGCGTTGTCCGTATGATTGAGGACATCGTCCAGCGAAGTCCATTGGAAACGGCCCACATGAACAACGCCATTCCTAATCGCAAACTCCCGATCCGCAATCTCCTGACTCTTTTCCGTATTTCCTCGTACTTTCTGAAACACCTCCAAGATTATATCAATTGACTGGAGATGGAAGTCGTCCACTTCCACGGTGGTCGTTCTGAAAGCCGTCTCTTGGCGCAAGGTACGCATCATCCCCAAAGCTAGAGAAAATTCCGGGTTTGGCTCTCTATCTGCCGCTATAGCTGACTGTGTCACCCACAGCAGGTGGCCCTCGATCTTCTTGACAAATGTCTGAAACGCCTCAAAGTCCTTGCTGGAGATATCGTGAAAGAAGGGGCCCTCAGCGTCAAGTAGAGATATGACGTCTTCGGCGACGGCAGTATCGTCATATAGCGTCGAGCATTGGACGACAAATCCTTCGGCTGTGAGGCGTTCTTGAAATGCTCGAGCCCACGTCGAACTGGGGCCGCGGGAGAGAAGAGTAACTGTTCCTTTGTCGATGGAACCACGCGGAAGGCTAGACAGAATGCTGGCAGTGATCTCGTACGGCTCCATGTTATTGTAGGAGAAGACATCGGCACCAGTGAACCCTGCCTCTAGTAATTTCTGATGCCATTCCTCTCGGGATAGACCTGCTTTGCTACCGTGTTCCCTCCACCAGCTGGGAAGAATGCCCATAACATAGTCAAGAAGAGGAAAAGTGTTTGTCATTTTATGGAGCAAAAGCCGTCCACCCGGGGCAAGGAGTTTTTGGATATGGCCGAGAGACTCGACGATTTGAGGCGTTGTATGGAGGAGGTTGGATGCAATAACCAAATCGTAACTGCCGGCCTCAAAGTCTTGCGTCAAGGGATCTTTTGTAATGTCCAGTGGGAGATACTCGAGAGCAGAGTGTTCTTTGAATCTTTCTTTCAGTCGAGACAGGTTGTCGGTAGAAGTGTCTGTCAATGTATACTTGGCGTACATTCTCGTCCTGCTATAGACGGATGCCGAAGAAAGTCCCTTGAGGACGACGGAGGTGATGCTGCCATTTCCAGCACCAATTTTTAGTATTCGATGGGAAGGCTTCGAGTGGGCCATGGCTGAGAGGAAGTCGTCCCACTGTGCCATCTGCGCCATGCTTTCGTGTAGCTGGTGCGTCCCGCCGTCTTCTTCTAAGAGCTCGCGCGGTTCGAGCTTATCATTGAGGATATCTTCAATGTGAGATAGCACTCGCTGCGCGAGCTTAAAGTAACTCAACAGAAAAGGATTGTCCTGGCGTCCCAGGATCTCCTCAATCCGGTGATATCGATGTGCAGACTTCATGGCACAGGCTTCCTGTTCACGGCAGTATAGGCCGTCATCGTGGCTGAATCTTGCGTACGCCCCGTCGAGCCAGGATTTGTAATGCCTGAGATGTTCCTTTTCCGGTAAACACGACTTGGTTCGATGGTAGCTCTCCACGATCATCAGTCTGATGAGCTCATCCGCTACATCCCCGGGATACGATTTTCTCTCGATTGGGAAGAGCTTCTCGGGATCCACCAAGTCCACATGTGGCTTCCAGTGCAGCGTCGATGCCAGCGGCACCTCTGCATCCTCCAATGCCGACTCGGACACCCCGAAGAAGACGCCACGGCGCATGGAAAGAACCACCTCGTCCTGCGCAATCAGCAGGGCGTCTCCGGTCATTGTGCTTCCACCCATGTCACAGGAGACATCTAGAGCCATTTTCCCGCGCCCTGTGGCAACGTACAAGCTCTCGATGGCGGTGGGGATGCAGAGCCGTGTCATGCGCCGGCTGATTCCCTGCGTGGCCGCAACACTCAGCAGCCGCAAACACTGATCGATCAGAATCGGATGCAAAGCGTAGCGACTGACGTAATAGTTCTCTACATCTTGCACCATCGCAGCTGCCTTCGAATCAGAGGGACTAGCCGTGATGTTCTGCAGCCCGCGGAACTGCGGGCCGTACTCTAGTCCTCGGTCCTGCAGGGCAGCGTACCACTTTTCCGACGATATCTCGCGTGAGTATCCGTTGACACCCAGCGCTGGGTGCTCCATAGCAGGGCCGGATCGAATCTGTCCGATACAGTGCTTCCTCCACTTGCCGTGTTGATACGCGCTAATCGTGAATTCATACCACTCTGAATCGAGATTGTCCGCCAGCCGGGCAGGGCGAAGACTCGTTACCATCTCAAGACCCTCCGGCTCTGTCTGTCCTAGGACCAGCGCTGTCCGCATGAAGAGGTTGCGGATACTATAGTCTGCGGCGCCGGATATCTGATGGATGGCTTCCCCGGCCATGGCGACGTACCCCGCACACGGAAACACCACCTCGCCGCCAATTTTGTGGTCCAGGAGCCAGAGCACATTCTCGACCTGGAGGAGATTGCGCCACGTCGGTTCGATATCGCTAGACTCGAGGGTTCGACGGCCGAGTAGCTCGTGGCGCGGGTGCTGCCGTAACCGCCAGTCGTGCGTGAGCCGGGTCTCGCTCCAGTAGCGCTCTCCATGCTCCCAGGCGTACGGGGGCAGGTCTGTCAGGATGTTGGCTGGAGGGATGAGAGTGGATAAGTGCACGGATACGCCGTGGATGTGAAGATGGCCTGCGGTAGCCAGGATGCATTTCCATTGGTCTTCCTTCCGGATCAGAGTGGGCACGTATGCGGGTCGTTTCTTCTCGTCTAGCTGGGAGAACATTTGGCGTAGAGGTGCAGAGAGGACCGAGTGGGGTCCTAGCTCGACGAAGAGACCAGGGCCGCTCTCCTTCAATATCTTTTGGATAGCCGTGCTGAAGAGGACCGGGGACTCCAGGTTCTGCCGCCAGTATGCTGGGGTGAAATGAGTCGGATCCGTCATTACCTCGCCTGTGACTGTGGAAAACATAGGAGTCATGGAGCCGTTGCCGTGATCAACCCCAGGCAAGGATCCCTCGAACGAGCCGCCGACCTCCTTCATATGGTGCGAATGGTACGCAACTTTGACAGCCAGCCGGCGGCAAAAGATTTCCTCGGCTTCCAGCGCTTGAAGAACGGAGTCCAGGACCTGCTCGTCACCCGAGATGGTCACGCTCTTCGGACTGTTCTCGCAGGCGACCACCACTCCATCCCTCAAATACGGTTTCACTTCATTGTGACCTAGCCCAACCGCCGCCATGGCTCCTCGTTTTGTCAAGGCGTCCATTGCCCGGCCGCGAGGGTACGCTACGGCAATGGCAGTCGAAGCTGAAATTGCCCCCGCTGCATAGGCCGCGGCAATCTCCCCACTGGAATGTCCAACGACGGCACACGGCAGGATACCCCAGTCGCGGAGGAGGTTGACCAGAGCGATCTGAACTGCCGTGCATAGAGGTTGGGCAAGTCGAGGGTCGCTCATTCGGCTAGCATCATCGCAGTGACATAATTCGTCTATTACGCTGTCAGGACGCAACCCACTTGACCGTGGCCTAGCCAAACGTACCTTCGATGCTCCAATCGGGAGCAGGCTTGAGGTCCTGCAAGATCCTATCCAGTTCTCGAATGCTCTCGCGGAAACTATCCGATTGAAGCAACAACTCTCTCCCCATACCGGGCCATTGAGCGCCTTGTCCACTAAAGACAAAGACAGGATTGGGATCTATCCGCCGGCCTCGTTCCACAGCAATGAGGGAGCCATCTTTCTGAGCGATGGCAAAAGCCTTGTAAGACAGATGCGTGCGTCGGAATGCCAGCGTATAAGCCAAGTCGTGTCGAGTACCCGGGCTAGCCTCCAAGTAGTGGCGGATTGCCTCGACATTGCCGTCCAGAGACTTGGGTGTCTTCGCAGAGAGTAGTAGAAGAGAATAGGCCTGTTCTGCTGGGGCTCGCGTCTCTCGCTCTCCCCGTACAGAAGCGGCCGAGTCCATGATCAGCTACGAAGATTAGCAATCTGTTCGACATGGAAACCTGCACAACACTGACATGGGCATTGGTTCCGCCGATACCGAATGAATTGAGGCTCACTCGTTCGAGCCGATCCGACGGCCACGGCGTTGCGTTGACGGGCACCTGGAGTTTTGCCTGTTCAAAAGCAACTGCTCACATAGGTCAGCTACCGGTTTATGGCTGAATACACATGACTCACTATTGGGATTCGGCTGCTCAAAGTACGCATTTGGCGGGATGACCCTATTTTCCAGCGCCAGAACGCATTTGATGACGCTGGTGATGCCCGATGCACCTTCGGAATGGCCGACATTCGGTTTCACCTGGGGCTGTGAGTCAAATGCTCGTCAAAGTCCCCTCGCACTTACAGCGCCAATGTGTATCCCATCCTTGCCGAATATCTTGGCCACTACAGAAGTCTCGGCCGTATCACCCACAATGGTGCCTGTTCCGTGACATTCGAAGAATCCCGTCCGGGCGATATCGTCAATCAGCGCCTTTCTGTACGTCCGTCGTACCAGTCTCTCCTGCGCCTCCAATCCAGGGGTGGTGATGCTGGGAGTCTTGCCATCACAATTGACAGCAATCGATCGGATGACCGCTCGGACTGGGTCATTGTCTCGCAAAGCCGCAGCCAACGGCTTGATGAAAATCGCATTGATCGCTTCGCCTCGGCCATACCATCGGCCGCGGCGTCAAACGTCCTACAGACTCCACTGGGCGAGATAACCATGTTCTCCGACATGCTCGTGGTCATCGTCGGCGTGAGAATGAGATTCGTCCCCGCGACCAAGGCAGCAGAGCACTCCCCCGCGTACAACGCCTGGCAGGCCTCGTGCAGCCCGACCAGCGAAGACGAACAGCCCGTCCGCAGCGTCATGCTCGGCCCGCGCAGGTCATACTGGTACGAGACGCGGTTCGCGAGCGCGAAATCCCCCGCGCTCACCACCCGGTAGCGGTCGTTGGCCTGCGGATCGCGACTGCTCAGATCGAGCCAGTCCTCTCCAAAGACACCGACGTAGCATCCGGTGTTCTTACCGCGCCACTGCGTCTGCCCTCCGTTCTCCATGCACTCCCAGATGATCTCGAGCAGCATTCGCTGTTGCGGATCAAGCTTTGAGGCCTCGATCTTGCTGATGCCGAAGAAGCCCGCGTCGAAGTGCGCGATGTCCTGCTGCAGGAAGTAGCCGTGCTGGGTGCGGATAGAGCCCGGGATGGAGTCCTTGTGGTAGAAGGCATCGATGTTGTATCGGCTCTCGGGGACTTTGCAGTGGCCATCTTTTTTGTTGATCAGGAAGTCCCAGAAGTCCTTCTCGCCGTTGACGCCGCCGGGGAGTCTCATGGCCATGCCCACGATGGCCACGGGAAAGGGAACGGGCGCGATATCCTCATCGTTCTCTTTATCTTGTTGTGTTGCTGCGTTATACTTTTGATCGGACTCTTCAAGTCTCGGGATATTGAGGGCGCTTTCGAAATCCAGCGGGTTGCTCAGCCGAACATCCTCGATCCCGATAGATCTGGTCATTGTGTCTACATCCGAGAGTCGCTTTGTTAGAGATAGACGGAGAAAAAGCTAGACAGTCCGACAATGGCCGAACTTTTGGGCTTTTCACCTGGACACCGCTTGACAATCAACAGCCCGCCTCGCGTCTCGTATGAGACCTTCGCCCTTGAAAGGGTTGCTGTGCTAGATAGTAGAATGTCATTCGACAGCCCGTCCCAGCAATCCTAAACAACTGACGCATATTTTTCTATTGCTGCAAGGGACGGCACGTAGCCTAGGTAGGGTCGCATGCAAGGAGTGAGAATGCCTGTCCCTGACAGCCATCATTCTAAGTGTGCGGATCAAGAATGCTATGATTCAAGTAGCTGACGGAACACTCGAAGAACGACCATAATTATGTCAATTCTATATCGAGGGATTGAGATACACAGTGCCAGTTGCTCAGATATCCGAGACGAACAACGACACAATATGACCAAGTGCAGAAGTCAACCCGACACCCATGCTATTCAGCACTTGTAACAAAGACCAAGAGCTCACGCGCTATTTTCTATACTACCCCACAATAAGCATTCCCCCTGTCAATGTCTCACACCCGCACCATCCTCCTATCAAAGTGCCATGTCTTCGTCTCGGTAGGAGCCTGACCGCTCCCGGTACCACTTGGTGATCCCCGCGTGTGGCTGGGGCGAGTGCCCGTACCAACAGGGTGAGTAGGCTCGGTGGTTGTCCCCGTTCCCGCGGTGCGTGTGGTAGCAATGGTCGTGGCTGCTTCCTCAGCCGAGGTGGTTGCTGCGCTGGGCTCGGAGATTGGGGGAATCACGATAGTGGTGGTGTAGCCGGAGGTGTTGGTGTAGGTGATGGTCTCGCAGCGCTGGCAGTGTCCGGTACCGCCTCCGCTGCCTCCACCGGGTGCCTGGGTGTGCGTTCCAGCATTACTGCCGCTGCTTACGGTGACGGTTACGGTGACCGTGGATGGAGGGGGGCAGCTGTCCGCTGGACCAGGCAGGCTGACGGTTGTGGTTAGGGGAGAAGATCCCGGAGCCGTGGTAGCAGACGGGATATTTGTGGGGACGTGGGTGGTGTAGCAGGTGGTTGTCTCGTAGGTCGAGGTCGTCAACCAGGTGCTGTAGTAGGTAGTGCCGCTCTGGGTGTGGATGGGAGTCGAGCAGGGCTTGAAGGTCGTCTTGGTGATGGTCTCGGTGACGGTTGAGACGGAGCCAGAGTCACCACCAGGGACGACAGTTGTTGTAGGCTGAGGATGGCCATTGCCATTGCCATCGGTGGACGTAGGCTTACCACCCGCTCCGCCTGTGGGAAGCAGAGTATAAGTCGAAGGGTGGTGAGAGGGAATGGTCGAGTTGGTAAAGCTGTGGGGACCAGGGAAGGCAAGCGCAGAGCCTGCGAGGGCGGAGACAAAGAGCAAAGAGTGCATTATCATTTTGATCTTCTCGCTGTGAGAAATAACTTGATTTGTTGATGGAGAAGAAATCCCGGTGGAGTGTGAGCGACATGTTTATATAGTGACTATTCCCGAGCTTGCCAGTTGCAAACTACTATAGTGCCTTCATTATGGATACTATATCCGCACGCCTGATGTCAGTGTATATTATCACATCCCCAGTCTGAGGTGATTTAGGCCACCCATCAGTCCAAGCTATAGAACCGAGCTATTGAGAACCGGCGAAGCTATTCATAGGTCCGGCGAGACCGGTATTTGCCTATTGCCCCACCTGTATCTCTGGAGCCGAAAACATGAGATCAGTAATGCAATTGAATTGCACAGATTCTTCCTGGAGATGTGCCATTCGTGATTTGCGTTCAGTAGGTGCAGCTGTCATGAGTGACCAGGAACTGGTCTGCCACAGTGCCGGGTTGCACCGTGATTCTGGCAGTGTAAAAATAGACCACCATTCCATGGTAAGGATGAGACGGGGTTCAGATGTCATCCAACGGTCCATCATTGTGGCTAATCAGTATTTGTGGCGAGAAACAATTGTAAGACATTGTGTACTCGGAGAAAATAGCTCAGCCACTGACTCGGATTTGATTCACGAGATTGACTGTGCTGACGGTCAGATCACACAGGACATATTATGAAATCTTTCTCACTAAAAGTCTCGAGTCGAAACCAAATCGAGACTCGATCGATGCTGCTAGACAGATGGATTGAATATTGGTCATCGATGCCCTCGTGATGATGTCTGTGACCTTTTACTCCTCAAGTAAGGGCTGGTGTTACCAAGCACATTTCTGAATATCTCATCTATATAATTCTCCAGGCGGCAGTATTATGACAAGTCAATGTAAAACTCTGATCTGAACAGGCACAGGAAAAGTGCCGTCCGGAATAGTCACACTTTTATGCTCCCTTGGCACATTGGCTCACCCGGTTACTTGTCGTGGAAGATGCAAGAAGATTCGCCAGTTTGGTTGTCTCAGATAGAAGAACTCCGGCGACGAACATAATTCGTTCTGTGTCAGGTAGCCTTGGTGAACTACGACTTCATCAAGCAGACAGAAACCTCAAATCGCATGTGATGACTGAGCTAGAGATATACATCTCCATCAACAGTGGGACATATAGCAGATATGGACAGTTTGTGATGCCCGGAATGAGAGTCTGCTTACGTTTTCCAGCTTTCGTAGAACATGAGACCATTGGCACTTCGTTGATCACGCTATCTGCTACTGCTACAGACTACCATTCATCCTCTATCTCTAGCTCTATCATAATCCTGTACAATCTGATGAGCGAGTTTCTCGGCCAACATGTCTGCCTTTCGGTTAGCGACTGCCCTGAGAAGTTATCCTTCGTAGTACAAAGACAACTTACAAAAAGTAGCCTGTGGATGTCCCGGAGGCAGAATCGGAAACGCACTGGCATCAATAACCCGCAGCCCATGTGTCCCAAATACTCTTCCTTGGCTATCCACAACCGCCATGGGGTCCGTGTTCACCCCCATCTTACATGTACACGCTGGATGGAAGATGGTCATCACATTATCTCTAATGAACTCCAGGATCTCTTCGTCGGTTTGCACACCAGGGCCCGGGAAGTACTCCTCTCCAATCACTACGGGCGCCATAGCACGACTCTGGAATGCCTCCCGGACACGCTTGAAGATTGCGACGGCCATTCTCTGATCCGTTTCCGTGGCGAGCCAGTTTGGGTTGATGAGCGGTGGCTCGGAGATGTTGCCGGATGCGATGGTAACGCTGCCGCGGGAGGTGGGCGCCACCAACGTACCCAGGATGGAGGCGTACTGGTATCCGTCTCTCGGTTGGTCTGCCATGAGGTTGGAGAAGTTGCCTACGGAGCCCGCGGCGGATATGTACTTTTCACCATAAGATATGTCAATGTCTGCTCTGCCAGGTTTTGGTTGAGGGACGAACTCGCCTCGGCTTCGGGCCAGTCAGATGGGAAGCGAGATAGATCGTCCTCTATCTCTTTGTCAAAACTCTTCCTATGCGTAGCTGGGATCTTCTCCCAGGCGAGAAAGTCGGCGATCGGGCTTCCAAGCGGCCCGTTAGGCTCGCGCAGATTCTCAAGCAGGTGGGTTGCAAACGAGGTGAAGGTGTCGACTCGCACACGATAGCTCGGTGCAAAGAAGGGATGGTCCCCTGTTCTGGCCTACGCCCGGCAGGTCGACTAGCACATAGATTGCATGGCTACGGAGGGTTTCCTCTGGTCCGATGCCGGAAAGCATAAGGAGCTGGGGAGACTGGATGGCGCCAGCGGAGAGGATGACCTCTCTCCGTGCTCTCAGGGTTATATTACCCGATATCTCAACGCCTGTTGCTCTCTTATTGGCGTCTAGGACAACTTTCTGGGCCACTGTATTGTCGTACACTGTAAGAGGTAGTGGATCGATACTGAGGAAGGCGTCTGAACTGCTCCGGGTCTGGTTCAACGGCTGGATTGTCGATGAGCAGTACTGCGATCCCATGAGGGTCCCGGAGTTGAAGTCTTTCGTCTCTTCAATGCCCATAGCATTCACTCCTAGTTTCATCCAAGTCGAGAAAGGCATGGCATAGTTTGGATATGATACTTGCACTGGGCCGCCATTGCGTAGGTCAAAAGCCGCCGCATCATAATCTGCCGTAGCATTAGCTAGACGAACAGCTGCATTCGGCGCGGTGAAATTGACGCTCTGCTGGAAGTATGGCAGAGCATGCTCGAACTGGTAACTACTGTCGTTCACAACCTGCGCCCAGAGCTGCATTGCATTCTTGGAAGGTCTACTCGATCAGTCAGCGTTCCCCGTAGAGTGGCAGACCACATACCGCTGGTATATCATCCAGTTTAGGGCGGAGCTAGAGACGATTAGAATATGTATCATCATAGTAATGATGGATGATAAATAGGCAATGCGTACGATCCACCAAGACACTTTCCCCGGGGGAAGTGGATTCGCCGGTGATTTGCACCAGGAAACTCCTCCGTCACAAAGCCCCAGTCAATGGGCGAATCCGTTGTAGGATCTGATCCCGATGGAAGCACAACAGCGGCTGGAAATGCAGCAAACGAGTTGTCTTCATATCGTGAGCCGGCTTCAACCACGGCAACTTCAAAGGAGTGCTGCGCTAGGCGAGTAGCGACGGTCAAGCCTGCTGTGCCACCGCCAACAACGATGAAATCATACTCTGTACTATTTCCTGCAACATGGAGGTTACTTGACGCTGATACAGCCCCTGCTAACAGGGCGATAACTGCCGTTTGTATCATTCGATGCGTCATCTTGAGGGTGCAGGCCCTGTATCTGCCTCTCCTTCTGGCCTCGACAAGACCGTCATTGTAAACTTAAAAGACCACATACTACGTGCATAACTGGTTCTAGGACAACGATCATTGGAGTGAGGAGCCTCATCCCGTGCAAAGGGATGACTCCATGCTCATTTGCGAGGGTAAGACATGCCAATCTTGGGAAATCTGAGCCTTGCATAATAAGTATGCATTGTCAAAGCATAGCCCAGGAGCATACTGGTCTTGTCAACCTGCATTCCGGTTTCTACATTCTCCGCGGTAGTACCCGTGACATGTTGATGAACTGGGTCTGTCGGGTTTTACCAGTCTTGCGGACAGTGTCTCCGGAGACATCACGAAGAAGATCGAAGAGCAGTGTGCTGCGGCTGGAGGACAGAGCAATCTATGCCAGGATCACAAGGCAATGCAGGCTGTTGAAGATTGTCTGAAAGAGAATATGATGCCCGCGGTGCTGGGTGAGATGGACCAGCTCTCGACGTTTATCACAAAGGACATGTGCGACAAGGTGAATGCGTATCTTAAGGGATCGGAGCTTTGGGATAGTGTCATTCCTACGGAGTTTGATGGCTATGCGTCTACGTGCGAGAAGGTTTGATTGCGCTGGGAGTCTGGGGTGAACAAAGTGGTTATATCTGTATCCTGGGTCTGACGCCTCATTCCTCTTCATGGTAATAATCACTACACGCAAAGCAAGAGATCATAGTGAGGTTGTTTCATGTCACCTCTCTACCTGGGCTGACTCTTTGGATTTTCTTCGCATTATAGCTTAAATGTCAACAGAGCTCGAGGACAATTGATGTACCTTTACGCTTTAATCATTGTTGATATCGTAAGTTCCCGGTCGAACTCTGCCAGCGTTCACGCAACCTCCATTCAATTATGTACTCTAATCGAGGCATTGTGCTTGAACGAGCTGTGCTGTTCTAATAAAGTTATAGGGTGTCCAACAAACTGGCATTGTAATTCCACTAGTCTCCAAAACTGCAATTTGATTACCTGAATCAAAGACTTGCTGTGCTCCTTCCTGCTGATCATACTCACACCGAACTATACACGCTTTCGATCAACCCTAACCCTGTCCTAATGCGACAGTGACAACTAAGAAGATCTGGTGGACAGCACGGGAGCAATGATGGCAGCTATAGCTGGCTCGGATGGTGTACGCTTGTGCTGCCATACTTGTAGTTGTGTAGAGAGGAAGAGATATAACCGTGGTTACGAGTCCGATTTGATGCCAACTCGTCCCTAATCATGAATGGGCCTATATCTCCGCTTCTGCAGACGTAGTCCTCAGCCTTTCCATGCACTAACTAATCTTCTGAGAGGAAGAAGGGCTACGAGGCGGGAGAGTTGATCGACGTTGCACTGATTCAGCTAGTGTGCTACGATGCTATCCCGTCCAAAACAAACAGCAAATCAGTGGTTCAGGCTAGAAGCTCGTCCGGTAGATTCCTTTTCACTAGCACCAATCAGCCCAAGAACCAAACCGGGTTGGTCAAGGCAAGCACTTCCTCTGTCGTGCCATTGCGAACCTCCACCCGAACAAACTTGGCCCCGGACGGCACGCCCCGTTTGATCTGTACTGTATCCTCAATGGTAGTATTGTAGAAATACCCCTTATCGGAAATAAAGCAAGCCTTGAGGTTCGACAGCCCCTCAGCCGAAAAGATAGCATTGGCACCCGCCGCAGTCGTCCGGAGCCTGTCACCAATCTGCGCGGGCGCCGACAGCGAGGGAATCTGCACCTCAAACGCGACGTCCATGCCCGGCCCTTGAACCAGATACGCGCGGCCAGCCTTGACACCCTCCACAATAGCAGCCTGGCTGCGTCCTCTCGCCTTGACGACGGTCGTCGGCCACCCGTTCAGCGACGGAGGAGAGTGAGAATCGCTCCCTCCGATGGCGGTCATGAATTTCCCATCTACAAGCAGTTCATGCCACTTCTGGACGGCCTGCTGATCCGGTTCATCCCACTGCGCATTCCATACCTCCACCGCGTCATTCTCCTCCCACCCGAGACCCCAGTCACACGCGGGGCAAGCGGCAAAGGGATGGTTGGCTGAGACGAAGCCACCGGCGCGGTGGACCTGGTGCGCGGCGGCAGCGAAGCCAGGGTTGTCGTCGGGCGTGTACCGCCACTCGATGATCTGGTCGCGGTCGAGACCGACAGCCTGCCAGTGGCCGTAGCGGGTGGTGACCTCGATGGCGCGGCCGATGAGCAGATCTGGGGCGAGCGATGCCTGGTAGGCGCCGACGATCTGATTGCTGGTGTCGGTGTTGTGGTCGCTGAAGAAGATGAAGGATAGATTGCGGGACAGGGCGTTCCGGATTTGCTGGTCCGGTGTGTATTTACCGTCCGAGTAGACGGTGTGCATGTGGAAGTCGCCGCGCATCCAGGTGAACGACGAGTCTTCCTGGCAGCCGTTGCAGAGGGGGTTCATGTCAGTGGTGGCGTAGTATGGGGAGAACCACGAGTCGACGGGGTCGAAGGACATTTCGATGTCGAGCTGCCAGTCGATCCCTTCAGGGACGGATGTGTAGGGGCCCAGGACGACGTTCCAGGTGCCCGGTTCGACGGCGCCGGGGTTGTAGCCGGGGGTAGCCCAGGAGGGAGTGATGGTGAAGTTGTTTCTGCCTTGTCAGATGGGGGGGGACCGGTATAGATGGACTTGGGAAAGACATACCTGAAACCACCGGACCAGCCTCGAGAGCCCGTGGTGCCATTCACTGCATCCATCATCTGGTATCCCCGTTGATCGAAGATCCCCAGATCAAGGGCATTTCCCTGCCCCTTCTTCGAGTAGCTCTGCACAACGGAGATGGAAGTTGTCCCCACTTCCACTTCGAATGGAGCGTAGACAAAGGAGAAGACCTGGGAAGGGTCAATATGACCGGTCAGGGTCTTCTTGATGGGTGCTCGCGTGGCAGCAGCCAGTTCCAAGAGCGGAACTAGCCAGGCAATTGAACAGATACCCTTCATCTTGAGGACTTGATTCTCGATTCAGATATTTATTGTTGACAGGCAGGGATTGTGGTAGGGTTTTATACGAAGTCAGGATGAGTTAATCATGCCCGTGCCAAAGGGACTGGGACTGAGACCCTAGTATAAATTTGGCCTGATTAGGTGCCTTATTGAGTATGCATCTGGTCGATCTTCCGCGTACCATGGGTGAAGTATCGTGAGTCATTTAAACAGGCTTCGTCTTGACAGGATCTCCACATGTCGATCTCCACGTGGGAGCATGATTGGCTGTAGCATTGGTTGATTATAAGGGATACTACTGGACCGGGACTTTTGGATACAAGTCAGTGAGTGTAGCCTTCTCATGAAGTATGATTGTAATAGGATCTTAGGAAGAAACCGGTCTGGGATCATGCCCGTGGCATCGTAGGTATGGAAGCCTGCCAACCTGATCCGGACCTGGAAAGTGGCTGTCGATCTTCTTGTTAGTCTGAGCTATGCTCAAGCAGGGTTTTTACTCGATAAATCCAGAAGAGGAATGTCATTAGCCGGTAATCCGGTATAATTTACCTGGGAAGATAGCAATAAACCGCCTTTCATTCTCTCACAGTATGATTGATCACGACGAATAGTGATGTAAACATGACCCTCCTCAGTTGATATGAATCAATCATAATACCTGGGGATGCTACAGCTTATCTACTAGCATCCAGAATCTCCTCCAGCTCCTCAGACAATGGATATACCTCTTCCACCGGCAACAACCTCGCCTCCTCCAGACATTTCTCAACCTCCCTCTCGGCAATCCCAACAATCCACCCATCCACATATCTACCCACTGCCTCCGCACTCAGTCCAATCCGAATAGACCGATAATCCAACCTCCTAAACCGAAAGTCCCGCTTCAGATCCCACTGCACCCGCACTGGACTCCTTCGCAGCCGCTCCTACCACATCGCCTTTTCCTCCGCGTCCTGCCCGGGATAATGTGATATACAAGACTGCCGCAAAGCCCACTCGAAGCCTTCCCACGTAATCTAAATGGCCAGGACGCGTTCCTGCTTGGGTTTCCGGGCCCAGCCGCTTCGATACGCCATCCACAGAAAGGAGGCTTTAACCCAGGTTATGTGTGTGCGGGAGAACGGAGGGACGAATCTTTGGGCATCCAGAGCGGCGTCTGCGATGGAGGAGGTGTAGGCTTGGTAGACAGTGTATTTGGCGCGGATTTGTCGGTGGGGATGGTTGTCCATGTTGGAATTTGGGTTGTATAGTGTGATATATATCCATCTGGCTGAGTGCGGATGACGGACTTACCAAGGTAGTATTCAGATATACCCCTATCTCCTAGTAATGGCCATAATACTAGGATGTCTATATTTTACTCAATAATATGGTGACTAGCTATATGAAGATTGTATGTTAAACCGGTTCACCCACCCGACCACATAAATTAAGCTTATTTTAGGATATAATAGGTAGTGAAGACAGACCGTGCAGTCAAGTTGATTGACTCCCTGCATGAGGATAGATAAACTTGGCGTGATTGCAGTGAGACCCCTAAAGGAGCTCTAGGAAGGGCTTACCATGTGTTTACAGAGAGAGGTCTGCTTATCTAGATGGCAATGAGAAGCCAATTAACATCTTAGAGCTGAGTAATTCAAAGGCGCTTAACAGAGCAGTTTGATTGGTGTTAGGGGATAATTAATGTGATTCATGAGAAATGCCATGCATTTACAGAGAGAGATGTCTGGATGGTCAGACTGATAAAGGCAGATTTGACATACTTCTTTGGTGCCCATGTCCACCCTGAATCAGCGACAAAGCTGCTACTTATGACTGTTTTGACTATAATCTCCACTCAGATCAGTGAAAGACAGACCCATGATGTGCTGTGAGTACACGGGACCCGATAGGATGAGAGTGTCTCATCTTGCTGATGCCAACGACGTGGGCTGAGTCGTAGTGGGACGGTCAGCCAGCCACACCCAGATCGGCCCCTACGGACGATATCATACATATATATCGCTTCTTACTTAATTATAGTACTGGACAGAAAGGTACAGGCAAGATCAAGGGAAGGACTTGTCTCACTCTGCAACTATACTGCAGTCGCCTCCAAAGAACAAGCTGCCGAAGAACGACAAACCCGGTAAAAGGAATTATGGAGCATTTACCCCTACCCGGAGGAGAAAAGCACTTTATTGTTGCTCCGTACAATGCTCCCCCAGGGGCTTGGTATGATCACAAAGGCTTTCTAGACTACCCTGAGCGGAGAGGCTGGACCAACGACCAGCTTCCTGACGGCGACACCACCAAAGAGGGATATCTCGAGGGCAATGGGTTTAGATTGAAAGGGACTGACTCGAAAGTCGAGGAGTTCTTCCAGACGTGGCTCTTCTTTGGACTGGTCATTGAAGTGTTGAAAATGGGCGGTGTCAGTGCCGAGACAGAGGATTTCCTCGAGGTAAGAGATCTGGCAGACCCTGGAGAAGTGGAGTTTGCCAGAATATCACAAGACGACAGGAAACAAAGACTAGTCAGGATTGTCAACACATCAAACCTTCCATGCAAGCTGAGGGAATGGAGAGATGGGATCCAGGATAAGCCACGGGCATGGACGGCACTGAACCAGATGTTTGAGAGAGCTCGACAGATCCTCGACTGCTTCTGCACACCAGATGATGAGAGGAAATTATGGGGAAACGACAAGCCACAGCGGTGGCCAGTACGGGAGGAGATCTCAACCACTATGATCGCCCTGGTCTTCTCCCTCCGCAGCGCCGCGATCAGTGTCTGCGAGCCCCGCGGGATCGGCATTATGAACCCGTGGCTGAACGCTCGCTCCGAGATCTTAGCTAGACGTCTACAACGCCAGTGGTGTCTCGCTGACGCGACTACCATCATGAAAGACCTCTCGATCGATGGCCACTACTACATTGCAGCGTCTCCTGGTTTGGATCCCGACGAGCTGGATCGTCATTCAAAGTGTGTCAGGGAGCGTTGCCTCGAAGAATTCCCTACAGAGCTTTATCACCCCCGGCATGTGGCTCCATGGCACAAGGCCAACTGTCCGACGGGACAGTCGATCAACTACGGTGGACAGCTGGGACCCGAAAGAGGCCAGACGGGATGGGAAGATGCTATTGCGAGAATCATCGACAAGAATGCAATCCCGATTGCGCTTTGGGTCAAAGGGCTGCGCAAACTTTGGTCGGTGGAATACCATTTAAGTGGCACCCGGAGGCCTGATTATGTGGCTATATCACATGTGTAAGCATGGTGCCTTCGAACTTCCCCTCTATTCTCCACTTATACCGTCCCTCGTGCTCATGAATGTGAGTCTGCTAACCACTTGGTCAATAGGTGGGCTGATGGCATGGGAAATCGGACGGCGAATTGGCTCCCTGAATGCCAGTTAGACCGTATTACGCACTTTGTGGAAAATGTGCGGTGGGAGGGCCGAGAACCTACCCCAGCGAATCCCAATCTCTCGGATGGAGTGGGCTTTTGGATGGACACATTGTGTACGTTACTTCATCCGAGTGCCTGGACGAGTTCGGAGACTAAAAGGGATTGCAGGCGTCCCTGCGTTAGACAAAGACCGCAAGCGCAAGGCGATCCTGAATATGCGTCATGTCTATTCGAACGCGAAAGCTGTCTTGGTGCTAGACAAGGGGCTCCAGAAAATTCCCTCCACCGCTCCGGTGCTGGAGAAAGTCGCTCGTCTGTATCTGTCCAACTGGATCAAGCGTCTCTGGACTCACCAAGAAGGGTTTCTGCCATCCACGGTGTACATACAGTTCTCCGATCGGCCAGTCGAGTTAGAAGTACTGGCAGAAGAGTTCGCGGCCTATAATCGAGAACACCTGGAAAAGACAGGAAAGTATCTGGGGTTCCCCTTCGCGGCGAATTCAAGGCTGCTTGACCTGTACTCTTCATTGAGGAATCTTATGAAGCAAGTCCAAGACAAGGACAAGTGGATGCTCTACAAACCTCTCTCGCACCATTTGTCACCACGCAGGAGTACACGACTCGCGGATGAGACGGTGTGCATGGCGACGATCATCAACATCGATCTTCACAGGATCCTGGCGATTTCAGGCGATGAGGATGAAGAAGTTGCAAGGGACCGCATGGCTGCTTTCTTGGAGCAACTGGGGACGTTCGACATGTGCTTGATATTCAATAATTATGAGCGCCTCGACAAGGCGGGATACAGGTGGGCTCCAAAGTCGTTGCTCAACTTTCGCACTCCTCTGTTGACGTGTCCGGACGGGTGCGGGACTGTTACTCTCAAAAAGATGAATGGCCAGGCCGGCCTTCCGGTTCGTTATCCGGGCCTTCTAATGGACTTGGCCGATGAAAGTGTGTCCCTTGGAGCCCTTCGGCATGGCTGCGAGGTCCAATGCAGAGTACCAGCCGCCAGGGGGAGCAACTCTCATGGCAAAGGGCTGGTCCTCCAGTTCCCGCCAAGCAACGTTCGGTGGGCCAAAAGGCAGTATGCCGTGATATTGTCAAAGGTCCCTAAAGTAGGCGGAAAGACTTGTCCGGCAGCCGTGGGCTTGTTCAATCGCTCCCCTGGGAATGGCATTTACTGGTTTGAGCACCTCTCGGTGGCGAGAATCCGAGCTCAGGAACCATATGGGGACGAGTTGCTGGACGTGCACCTACTTGAGAGTGATACTGCCTGGTTTGTTATGTAATGGCGATAGCAAATTACTCTTCATTATTAGCAACTGCCTTAGTATTACAAAATGCACAGTTCTCTCTGTGAGCCATACAGAGTGGCTGCAACGGCGTAGCGCATCTGTAGACTCTTCTTGCATGTATGGCAATGTTTGAGGATATTTGAATGAAGAGTACACTAAGTAATACAGAACACCTGTGGTTGATTTGGATGTATTATATGCAGTGATGGAAATGTATGTTTCTCACTAGTCTCTTGTAGAAAATGGAGTGGCTGGCTGAAACCGCGGCTAGCAGGGATTCTCGTATAAGATGGAGGAAGAACAGGATGATGACTACCTACAACAGAGGCACAGCCTCATGCACACTGTCTACACTGCTGTGATTCCTAAAAACTAATACCTACTAAGCATAGCCCCGCACTATTGTCAGCCCTGCTCAGCCCTGCTGTGCCACATCCATTTGAGTTCTGCAACGAGCATTGACTCTTGAAGTCCTTTATCTATCTAGTGATTTCCCCTCTGTAAGCATTAATATTATACTATACACCTTTGCAAGAAACTCCTCCATGGCCCCGGCTCTTCGACACCTCTTCCCCCGCCGTGACTTTGACCCAGGGGCTGCAAGCGCTGCTTTTGCGGATGAGTGGTCTAATCCGTCGAATTATGCCTTTACTATCCTGCTCTTGATCGGAGGCGACTTGATCCACCGCGCTCTCGCACAGCTGGCGGGGGGCTGGATTACTCCAGTTGCCTTCTCATTTGGTACGTCGAACAACGTCACACGCGAGACTTTTTGCTCATCTGCTCTAAGGATGGGTTTCTTATGCGACCTCGTCCATATGTTCTGCGCTCGGCGAGTACAGGCTGATGCCGGACGCCGACACAGCCTGCTGCCTTATCAACGGCAGGAATGGTTACGTCCGGGGAAACAACTCCTGGGTTCTCGGCCGCATCATGCGAGATTACGAGTCCTGGATGGGAAAGCCGGTCCAGGAGAAAACAGAGTCTCTCCTCCAGGCTCGCTGGGACTTTGACCGGCAGCGCGCGGAGAGAGAATGCACCGGATCGGGGAGCAGAGTACCCCGTCCTTCGCAAGCGGGATTAGTCGTCAGTTTCTGGCAGCCAAGCACCAAGCAACCGCATGGAGAGCCCGGCCACGATCTGCTCCACTGGTCGGGCCTCATTGTCACTGTGGTTCAACTGGGAATCGCTGCCATACCATTGGGTCTGCGGGGAGATTGGGGCATCCTGATGATCACGGGGGCAGCCACCATTCTCTGCTACGTCACCGGGGCGCTGGGGCAGTGGAAGGTCGAGAAGTGGGCTTGTCGCCGTCTGGACGCTCGAGACAAGAAGAACTTTGTCTTGACGCGCGGAAACGGGGCCCAGCATGCGATTGCCATCATCAGTCATGGCCACGGACTGGACCTGGAGGACCTCGCTACGGGTTTTGCCAAGATCGACTCCCCGTCCATCACCGTCTTTGCGCAGCTGGCCACCATCGGCCTGGGGGTCATGTGGATTGCGCTCCTCATCACCGCATCCGCTCTGCAAGATGACTCCTGGTACTTGATTGCTGTTGGAGGGATAGGAATGCTTCAGAACATCCTTGTTGCGGGCTGGAAGCGGACCCCCGCTGCATACGGTGTTCCTCTTGAGTTCATTGGTGTTGTGGGTGAGGTCAAAGTAATGAAGACTTTGCTAGAAGTGGAGAGGAGATATGAGAAGCTGGGGAAGAGTATGATCGGCACCTTTTTCCCTGGCGATTTGCGGGAAAACGAAGTGAAGGAGTGGGAGGCCGTCGCGCAGGAATGGAAAGAGAAAAAGGCCACCACTATCAAGTCTGATGATTCGCAGGAGAAGTGAGAGGACTGTACACTCGATTGAGACACTTTGATTTGGGAGACCACCATAGCAGTTCGGGGTTCGACAATTGATTTCACTCCCCAGCTTAGCCTTTCCTTACATCGTAGATGCCAGACCCAAATGATCCACTTTATCTACTTAAACCATGCGTACAGTTATATTGGAACATGAAGCCTGGTCGAGCGAGTTCCTCGGCTTACTACTGCTTCAGAAAAGATACTTCAGCTATGTATAAGCCCACCCACCAGATTTGACGGGCCAAGGACTATATGACACTCTTTATATATACTACGTGCAAAGACAGACGGAAGGTCCCATGACGAAGAGCTGCAGCTGCATAAGAACGCAGCCAACCTAGACTTACGACTTAGCCCACGAAGGCTGACATCTTACCCAGATGACGCGCCGCAACGCCACGGTACCTTGGGTGCCCAGTTGCTGCCTAATATGTCAGCTTATGTTATTTCCACCCAGAATTCAACGAGCGATGTATTATTAATAATGCCAGTCAACTGGAGGATATCGGTGTTAATTCTTTCCCTATCTTTCAAGTCCCCTTTGTGGATTTGTCAGCTGAGAGCTTCAACATCGCAGCAGCAGACCCTATAAAAGCAGGGTTAGCTAGCTGACAGGTAGCAGTTCATAGCAACTATGAAGCGAGTGATAGACCGGAAAGGTGCCAGAGGCTCGAGCAGACGCAACGTAGTAGGCTGGAGTGTTCTGCCTGGTGTGGGAAATGGTGCATGCACACAATTCGAGGTCATCCTCTCCGATGAGATTGGGAGTGCTCAGGGAACAGATAACACAACGTCTCACTACTTGCATTCTACTGCTCAGTTGAAAGTTGTGAAGCACACTGTCCAAGGAGCCATCTACACCGCAATCGCAACTGCAAACTTCAGATTTGCAAACAAAAGGCTCCGCATTGTCTTACATGCCGATGATGGCGCTGAGTGGAGCACAAGTATGGCAGTCGTTGGCGATCGGTTGATTGTACCAGCGCAACAAGCTCAACTGGCTGAGCTCTTCATTGCACTGGGCGAATTATGTGGTATCGAGCTGGGAATGTCTGCTAATCTGCAACTGAGTGATGATGGCGCTGGGTGTAAGATCTGTGCGGCTCCCTTCTGCGGCATCGGTGGTCTTGTATACACTCTTGACAGCATGGCAGGCAGCCGTCCAGATAAAAAATCCGAATGCCAGGAGGGGAGTACATATCCAACCGTTATGAGCTACACAGATAATGAGCAGCTATGGGTGGACCGAGTACCGCAGAGCCCGGGCGCTATGACGGACTTTTTGACCAGCCTTGCGGGACGAGAGACAATACGCATAGCAGACACGTGCGTAGCGTCGGGTGAGGACGGGAATATTCTTCTGTCGGATAATATCATTTGGTGGACGGACGAGGTCACCGAAGAGGTGCCACAGCGGAAACAGTCCAAACCTGCGAATTGGGGAGGCTTCCAGGACATGTGGCGAAACCACAAGAACCTAAGGGAGTCAAAGAAGAGGGCGGAAGTCTTGGTCTGCACGGAGGCTCCGCTGGTTCACGATTCGGTCATAAGATTCGCCCAAGCAGGCAAATCCGACAGCAATACAACCAAGCCCTTGAGGTTGATACACGTTCAAACACGAGATGTACTGGCAACGGAGGGGCTCGGGAAGAAACGCTATGCCATCATTTCGTACACCTGGAGCCAATTCAGGAAAGAGGAGTTGCTGGAATGGGCAACATCACGAGCAGCGGGGCTGGGTTACGAATACATATGGATCGACCAATATTGCATTGATCAGAAGAACAAGCAGGAGAAGAACGCGGAGATCAAGCGCATGAGGGATTACTACAAGAACGCGGCACAAGTCCTAGTGCTCGTGCCTGACGTGACGAGCCTGGCCAGCTTCAATGTGGCATCAGCGGACCAGCTGATCCATGTAGATGCAGCTCTCAACGCCTCCAGGGACGTATTGAAGGAGATTGTATCTTGCGAGTGGCTGAAAAGAGTCTGGACCTTTCAAGAAGCATGGGTGGCTAGACAATGCGTGCTGTGTACCCAAGAGCAGATGCTTGACGGCACAGTGATGGATGCCTTACTTGGCTTGCTCAAATACGGAGCTGTCGACAGACCCAGAGTAATGTGCGTCAGAAATAAGTCGATAGCGAACCCAGTGGTTGCAAATCCCAACACAGTTGTCTGGAAGGGGGTCCTCAGGAAGCGTCAGACGGTCGTGGGATCGACAGAGAGGTGGATCTTGCAGAGCGGATTAAGGGAATACGAGCCGCCGCGGCTCACGCTGGTTCAGGCCTGGGAAGCTTCAAGGGAGAGAAACACGATGAATGAAGAGGACAGAGTATACGCTCTGCTTTCCTCCGTCGAGGGGGGAGACAGAATCAAAGTCGACCGTGGACGGTCTCTGCTGGCTGTCATAGAGGACTGTGTGGAGGCAGGGATTGTTACCGCTGACCTTCTGGCCGGCGATTCCCCTTCGACCATGGCTGATAGGTGCTGGATGCCCGATCTAACAGGATCTGGACCGCAGCACCCGTTGCGAGTTGCCGCTGCTACTGAGAAACAACAGCCATTGGTTTGGCGAGGAGGCAGGGTGTCTGTCAAGGGAAAATATTTCAGCTTTGCGGACGTATCCGCTTGGCTACGCATCGCACGCATCAAGACTGAGGATGCAATTCAACAGTCCGAAGGGAGCGACCGGCCCTGGACTCAATTCGCTCTCACAACGCGGCAGAAAACATGGACTACGAAGGACGTGGTGACTTCTGATTTCCTTTTGGTACAGCCGGTGCCTGGCTCCACGCAGACTGTGCTGGTTTCGGGCAACAAATTGCCAGATGGATCCTTTCACAGGAAGAAGGGTTATATAGTCTGGCTCAAGAAGACAGGGGAAGAGTGGCTGCAGGACAGCCAGCCGGTAGAGATCGGATCATCGCTATAGATATAAGGAAGCGCATATTACTGTAAGAACGATGATATCCCTCGGACAGTTTGTCTTCCAAATATTTCAGAGAGGAAGGCCTAGAACATTCTCCTGCGCTATATAGAGTGGATCGTAAGCGATATTAGACGGAAGATGCTAGTAATTTAATAGCAGCACGAAGTTGAACAAAGGCTATTCTTCTTTAGCGACTATTGATCTGATGGATATACGTGTAGATATAGCGAAAACGAGGCACTCCATCCCTAGTAATTCGTAATCTAGATCCCCATACTGTAGATTAACTTGAATATTAGAATCCTGGAGGGCTTATCTCCTGGTGAAGGTCTAGTGAGAGGAGAAAGCATGCTGAATCATCCAAAAGAGGTAAGTGGTGACTTTTGCTGTCGAAGAGGATTGTCTCTACCTCAGACCATCTGTCCATCTCTCCATCTGTCTGGGATTAATAGACATCTCTCTATCCATCTGCAACTGACGTCTCTCATGTCAATCACGTCTTCAAACATCTGTGAGTGTGACCTATCAAACTATCAAAAAATATCCCGCCAAGACGCCAAGAAAGATAATTTTTGCCTTAAATTTTCTCCGCATCCAACACGAGCCGGTCTATTATACTCTCCACATCTCTGCTCGATGCCCTCTATTTCGGACCGGCTGACGGTGATCATCACAACCTCACCAGCTCCATCAAATCCTGCCACGGATCTCATTGCATCAGTCTTAAAGTCCTTCCAGCAGCACTGCGCCGGTCTCACTGAGGCCCGGGTGGTCGTCGTCTTCGACACCTTTGAGCGCATCACCTCACAATTGCGTCTGAAAAAAGGCCATGCCAGCCCAGAACTAGCTGAGAACTACGAGCTGTACAAGAACAACATCAAGGAGTTCATCCTGCACACGTATCATCATGGCCAGGTTGTAAGCCAAACACCCGGAGAGGCCGAATTCGGCTTCGATGGAAGAGTCGAGCTGCTGATTAGTCAAACCGAAAACCGTAAAATCACATTCATCGAGCCTGCTGTCCGGCTGGGGTTTGGGCTGGCTGTTCGCTCGTCCCTGAGGCTTGTCGAGACGCCGTACGTCTGGGTCCAGCAGCATGACTGGGCGCTTGTGGCGGATATCCCCCTCGAACCTCTGCTAGAAATCATGCAGGGAAGCGAGGGCGATGACGCCGTGCCGGTGAAGTATGTCTCTTTCCCGTCAGTACGCATGAAGTGCTATGCGGTCTCACCGCACGTCACCGACCATCCAGCTCTACGGGAACTCACCACCTCCTTAAAGCGGGATTTTGTGATCCAGTCCGAGCCAGAAAAGAAAATTCCTCTTACGCCACTGTTTTTCTGGTTCGATAAACCGCATGTTGCCTCTACGGCGCATTATCTGGCCCGGGTGTTCCCGACGCGGCTGGCGATGCGTCGGGGGGAGTTCATCGAGGATAAGATCGGGCAGCGGGCGAGGACGCAGATGAAAGAAGGGCAATGGGCCAAGTGGGCGACTTGGCTGTATTACCCGGACGAGGGAGACTTGCTGTGCCTGCGGCATCTGATGGGGAGGACTTGGAGAGGGTTTGCGGGTCCAATTAATGTCAAGGGAGGGGATGCTACTGTTACAGAGGATGACCAGTCTTAATCATACTCAGCACTGCGTTGAAGTGGTGAATCCTAGCGTGAGCCACTCGCATTAATTATGACGCTGGTCAAAGCGACAGGCATTGTCACATCGTCGTAAAGGAAGCTCAAGCAGCGAGAGGTATTAAGTATGTCAACAAGCAGTCCAAGGACCCTGTTTAATGCCTCCAGCCCCTCTATGAGCTCGTGCAGGTGTTTCAAATAGGAATGGAAAGACTCGACAATGTTATATGGCACAATACTAGACTAAAAGCGAGTAATCAAGGTTAGTCGTGCAGAAGCCAGGCTCATAGGTTTACTCATTGTGTCAATTATGTTAGTAAGTGCCACAAAATAATCAAGACAGGCTATGAGATGGCCATGCAAAAGTTCCCACTGACCAGGTCTCCAATACATTAGGGAGTAGGTCATTAATAGCTGCATTGTCCAGTCGTGCATAATGTATAAGTACTGTTTGCTCAACAACAGCCACTACTGCTCGTATTTCACTCTGAGCCTTTGGATACAGCTGACTTTTCAAACTCCGGCAGTGCCCAGTGCCCATTTCATCGTCCAGTCGCACTGCAATATTTCCCTTGCAGTGGCCCGCTCCTTAGGCTTGAAACATGGCATTGATCGTAACATATCCAGAACAGCAAACAGCAGCTACCTACTCAGTTTGAGCTATTTTGCAACAACCCGCTCGACAGTATCCTTCACGGATTCCAACTCTAGGCCCAGTATACCATTGGCCAAGGTCTCATCTTTGGCATAGTTCGCCCGCAGGCCTGGAATGTTACCAAAGCTGGTGGCGCGAACGAGAGTAAAGGCACCGCTGAAGTCGCCCGCATCAAGCTTCCTGACACCCTCGCCTACTTGCTCCTCGGTTGTGGTGGCATTGACAGTCCACTTTGTCCTAGTGTTTTCCTCCAGCGCGGCCAGGATGCTGTTCTGTGTGGTCTCAACAGAAGCAATGTACAGGTACTTGTTGCTGGTCTCTTGAGGATGTTGCAATACGGAAACCACAGCCTCGCCCAGCTGTTTCTCATTGGTGAGAGTGAAGCTCGTGTTACCGCCATCCCAGATGGTTGCGGTACGGTTTGCGATGTCAAATTCGAGGAAGCCGTTCTCCATCCCCTGAAACGAGAGATCAGTATTGCAACCACCTGGAGGATGGTGTTCTACTCAATGACATACCCAGTCGAGCAACATTGCCGTGGCGATGCCGGTCCAGGACAGACCTTCAGTCTCCTTTGTTTTTAAATACTCGATGAGCTCTTTCTTCTGTTCAAATAGAGGCAGCAAGTGCAGCACCGCTTCATCTTGGCTACTAGCCGAGAATTCCGATGGGAGGAACCTCTGAACACCAGCTCGAACGGCAGCATCGACAAGCTTCTTCTGCTCGCCAAATCCCATGGCACCGAGAGCTGAGATGACAACGTCCTGTCCCTTGAATGCTGCCTCAAGGTCTGCCTCTGAGTAGTCCGTCTTACGGACGGTGACGCCGGCGGGGAAAGTCGCCTCGCTCTCCTTACGAGACAAGACGGTGATGTTGAACTTTGCCGATGCAAGAAGACCATGGAGGATGATCTTGCCAATGCTTCCACTAGCCTGTAGAACGACGATGGTCAGTAATTGACGAAAGAAGGATCTTGAATGTACATACACCGACGAGGGCAACGTTCTTGTAGGCGGCCATTCCGGATCGTTGTTGGTTTCGTTGAGGTTTGAGCTCCTTGATCTCTGAGAAATGCAATAAGAAGAATCCGAAATGTTAAGCAGATACAATGGCAGCTAACTGGAGATTGAGTCTTTTCTTTGTGCTTGTAGATTAGCGGCTCGAGTGGCCAGGAAGACATATTTATATGTTGTTCGATCAACACAACGACGCCAGAAACTTGAGGGATTTATTTGGACATAAGCAACTCCTGTTTCACCAGGGTATCAACTATCTTCACTCCATTCTCTGTGATGACAAATGGATCTATCCATAGACATCTAGCTACAGTCTAGTATTGCCTACAGCTACCAGCGGAGGTGCCTCCGCGTCCTCCGCTGCAGCCAATCGGAGGGGCTCCTTGTGGCATCGCGCCAACCTCCAGCTTACTCTGCCCTTGCGCCATCTTGTCCATTCGCCCATAACACATCCCGAACGCTGAATCCGGTCGACACTTTTACCCTGGAAGCCGGAAGCCGCTCATGCCGCGCCGTGTCGTTGCGTCGGGACGGTCTTGTCTCGAATGCCGCCGCCGTAAGATCAGATGTGACCGATCCCTGCCATGCGCATATTGCATCCGCACACGCATAGAGTGCACATATCCACCACCGAGACCAGCGGACAGAGATGCCGCATCTGCCAACCGCGCCCTGTTGGCTCGTGTGGAAAGACTGGAGGGCGTCATACAGTCCCTGCAATCCGATCTGTCGCAATTCCGGCATCGTCTGCCCGTCAGTCCCCTGTTGTCCAACACCGGCCAGGAAGAGGAAGGCCATCACGTTGGCTCTGTAAGCCTATTACTCCACACAATTTATCAATTCAACACAGAAATACGGATGGCCTGTGGATCAGGTACTAAAGAGGTACAATTAGGCAGTCGAACATGACCTGCGCTGCTCCAGCCCAGCATCCAATCCTTCACGATCCCTCGATGGGCGGTTGGGGCATTCTTTCCCCTTCCACCTGGGTCCCTCACCACCACTGGGGCCACTTCACCCGTCTCCCTCTGTGATATCGACCATCTGGCAGACATACCTGGACGTGGTAGACCCGGTTCTCAAGATATTTCATGTCCCGACTGTGCAACGACAGGTCCTAAGTCTCATTCGCGGTCAACCAATCCTCGACGCCCCCACAGAATGCTTGATGTTTGCAATCTATTACTCTACCTTCGTGGCCATGTCGGCGGCAGAGTGCCAAAGAGAATTTCACGAGGACCGGACATTGTTACTGAGCCGGTAGGTTTTCTGTACCTTTCGAATTTTCTGTGCTAAATCCTCCAAGGTATCGGACAGGAGTCGAGCATTCTCTTCTGAAGGCGAATTTCCTGAATTCGGTGGACATGACGGTCCTACAAGCATTCGCCCTCTATCTGGTACTTGTCTCTTTCATGCCCGGATGATCAAACGAATACTCACCCATTGCCCTAGATCTGTGGCAGACGTGATGAGAATGGGCCCGACGTTTGCGCCCTCGTCGGAGTTGCCATTGGGACCGCTATGAGAATTGGTCTTCATACTGATGGAGCGGCTATGGGTCTCGCTCCGTTCGAGGTGGAAATGCGACGCCGGCTCTGGTGGCAGATTTGCACGCTGGACGTCCGCATTGCCGAGGACCATGGCCTAGAGCCTAGTATTATGGAGTCTGCGTTCACCACTGAGCTTCCCTCCAACATCAACGACGCCAACCTGGATCCGAACATGAGTGAGCTCCCGCGGGCTCAACCGGGACGGATGGAGATGCTGTTCAGTCTTGCTCGGTTTGAAGTAAGCCGCTTTGCACGGAGGGTGGTATTTTCGGATAAGTTTTGTAGCTGCAACTCGTACCCCATCTTGAGCGAGGTGCAGAAGTGCAAGGCAATCGACCAGTTCAAAGGGCACTTAGAGAAACAGTACTTGTCATACTGCGACAAAGGAGTACCACTGGACTATGTCACCACCGCCATCAATCGTCTCATCCTCATCAAGTTGAAGTTGGCCGTATGCAAGCCACGAAGGGATCGGAACCCGGAAATGCCTGTGCGGACCAACTACCGGAAGGTCTGCGAGGACGTCCTCCATCACGCGTCCATATTGCGACAGTATGAGAAAGGGACTCGATGGTTGTGGCTGTTTCAAACCTATGTCGAATGGGATGCCTTGGCCTATCTTCTGCTGGAGCTCTGTCTCGCACCCTCATGGGGCCTATCGGGTACCGCGTGGAAGGCGGCAGACGAGGTCTATCACCACTGGAACAATGACCCGGACATCCACCGTGATCGTCGCTGGCGGCATATTGAAGAACTTCGAGCGCAAGCATTGACTGTTCGGGAGCGGATGCAGGCGACTCCTGGCGCGCACATGGCGACGTCACCCAAATCTACCAACAGCCCTGAGCAGTCTGACCTCGATACCGCCGTGGTGCTCGATGATCCAGTACACAACGATGGTATTCAACATTCACCCAACTCAAGGGAAAGCAACGAGGAATACTCGCCCTTTGTGTCAGCAACCCCCAGAAAATTCAATCCAACCACTGGACAGGCGTCTCCCATGTGGGCGCTTGCCAGTGTAGCCACTGCGACCACTGCAGCCCCCTTGGCTCCTAATGCTATCCCCTCGAGCGGTGCCGAGTTACCAGGCGGAGGCACTGCCTGTGAGTGGAGTGCCGCGCTTTTCCAGCAGTATTGGCAGGTAGCAGAGCCAGGACAGGGCAATTCCGGATGGTGGCTTTAGACCAGCGCTGCGTCATTTATCATGATTGATTGAATCACGTCTTATCAGACTCCAATTAATGTGACTCCGTTGTGGAACTAGGATTTGTCACTTATCCATGTTATTGAAAAGCAATTTGGCAAGGGTTGGTGTATAACATCTTTCAAGAAGTGCAGGTAGATCCTACCTGAAGGTCCCCTAGCAAATGTTAGTGAGGGCATGATATACAAGGCTCATCTAGATAGAAGGATGCAAGACGTACAGGATACAAGAGGTGGTGCATTGGAACTGATGCATTCTGATATACCTGGCTGTAGATAGTAGTTCTCCCAGTAAGCCTAGAGTGACATCAGTTAGTCTCTCTTCTAAGAACTTCTTAGCTGTTAGCTGGCTAGTCTGCTAACTGGCTGCCCTGACTTCTATATCTGTTAGCACCTTAACAGACTCTACTGAGCCCGTGGCTCTTTCATTAAATATCCCCAACATCACCGACACTAATGCCAGGATCAGGACCCTTTATATTGATTTCTTTTTCCCGCTTAAAATTACATGCAATGTAGACAAGCTGCTTGTTGCTGTCTAAACTTTCTAACTATCCAGAAGCTCTATCCTGGTGAGAAATACTTCTGAGGTTTAAACTAAACAGCCTTTCAAGGATGATCTGTATTCCATATGTACATCTCCTCCTCTTCCTGTCTTGTTTCTGAGCTTAGAAGTCTGATTAACTTGGTGCTTTACAAGAACAGTCGACAAAAGTCAATCCCTAATATATATCTTCTTGCACAAGACCTACAGAGTATCTCAGCGCACAGCGCAGCAATAAGCTTTATATACTTATATCAAATATCTATAGAGAATTTTCTTCTCATAATGCTCTTTCAGCCGAGTTCCTGCCATATAGCAATAATAGCAGTATTAAATGCACTCGACTGGCATCTGATCACATGACATCAAGGGATCCGTCGGGCTTTACTAACGTCCGACGTCGTGTTCACCTTTCATATTCAACAACTCCTCACAGACGACTGCTTGAACACCGAGCCTTCTCACCCAGGAAGGCCATACTCTATTGAATCTTCAGAACAGGCTCTCAATCCAGGCGCCCTGCCTAGGATAAGGGACAGCTCCCCCTCCGCGCGCTGCCTGACACCCGCCCGG